AGATTGAAGTTGACGATAGTCCTTTAAAAAGGTGCACGCCAAAGACAAAAGATTTTTCTCGGTCTGAAAAATTAAATGTTAATGAAAGACCTAGAAGAACAATTAAACCAGTTGTACGTTTAAATTTATGAGATAAGGTATTGTAATATCGTGTAGCTTCTGCCTGTTCAACATAGATTTTAATAATAGCCGTTTTCGGAAAGTGTGATCCGATTAATCGGTTCGATCGGATTAGTAATCTCATCGTTCGTAAAATGATCGGAAGTCGAGTACTCGCGTTCGGTAAGTGATCTTGTTGACTCGGTTTTCTCATATGTTTGTGATCTCGTTAACCCTGCTCTTGACGTGGGTAGAAAATTAATCTATCAGCTGTTTGATTTTTTTGGTTATGTGTTACGTTTATTTTAGCTGCTTACGGAAACACTGATCTAGGATCAGTTCGATCAGTATCAGCTGTTCAAGGATTAGTGACCTATCTAGGTGGAGCTAGTTTAGTTTCCGAACGGATGGATCTGCAGATGAATCTTGTCAAATGACACCTCCCGACAATCCTAACCTCAACAAACATTATTTTGATTTTCCGATATTAATTTTAATCTCCAGTTCTCAAATTTCCAGTTTTTTGGCTTCTTGCTGTTGAAGATGTCTGCCACATTTATTTTAAAGGCAAAACAATCAACAAACAAGTGAAAAATTGGGTTAAGAAAAACAGCTGACGGCTGCCAATCCTATTTTACCCCGCATTTTATCGAGTCGGTGAGATCCAAATATATGATACTGAACCGAACATCCCGATCACTTTCCGTACAAGAGTGAACGATCCTAGTCCGTATGTCGAGATTGGTGATCCTTGTGATCCGGTTAACCCGATTATAGTTTCCGTAAAAGCTAATGATGTTTTGTTTCCATTTTGTCGAGTTTTGTGTTTGAATTATTGTGATTTGTTGTGTTGGGGGTGGTTTGCACTGCAGTGTCTTTGAAAAGTTAAAGGCTATGGTCACAGGTAAAGACCTTACCTCAAATCGTTGAAGAAAAACAAGAAAAACGAACACGGTTGCCGGCGATCGTCGATCCCAATCGTTCGGAAACGTTGAGCAATCTACTCTGAAAACGAGCTAAACCGCGATTAGCTGATAATAACCTACTCGATCCAGGAATTACATTCCCGAAAGCAGCTAATTAGTTAATAAGGTTGAGTAATCAAAGCTATGACATAACAGTTAACAGGTATAATAGTCAGTTTGAAGTTTTTGAAGTTTCAAGCACATTGTCATGCATGTAAGTTAGAGAATTTGTACTGTTTCTAGCAGACGTGGGTTTTTATTCCTTTTTTAAAGTTTTGTGGCTATCTCCGTATTTCATTTACGATACCACACTGTATTTGTCGATTGACCCTTCATCAAAAGGTCACTTAATTTATTAATTGATGATTGGTAATATTGCTAATTCACTTGTTTATTTTTTTTAATATTAATAACTCAATACACATATTGTTTAATTCTGGACTATAACCACAATTAGTAAATAAACAGACTATACCTCTTGTAAATTATTGTACCTAATAGGAAAATTGAATAATAATGTATCTATGATAATAATTAATCAAATTAGACAAAATCAGATAAAGCTTTAATAGTAGAGAAAATGTCCCTCGAGTTTGCAAAGAAAATTTAAGGTTATTAGGTTATGTCTCACCTGTTAGAATCGGTTTTGTTTGCCTCGAAAATACTCTGGATTAATCTGGATCGAGGTCTGGATTCGAAATCCTGGAGTGAGTGAAATGATCTTTACTCTAGTCTTTAGGGCAGCTTTTCACTAATGATTAAATGGAAAAGATCAGAATCCACTGTGGGAAAAAACGTGCAGAGCAAAACTTATCATATGGATGGTTGCTAAAATCTGAAAAAATCGGCGATTTTTATAGTACTTTACGAAAACGTAAGGCAACGTAAGGCAACTCAATGTAGGTACTATAAATTCAATAATTGAGAATATAAGGTCGAAATCCCTCAAAGGCGAAGACGAAATTTTACTCTTCAGAAAGACCTTATTTCTCCAACCACCAAATGTGAAAAGAAATGAGCACCACATAAAATTAATTAGCTGTCCTAAAGGTAAGGATTTAGAGATGAGTCAGAATAACGACAAAAGTCAAAAATTGATCGATAGAATTTTTACGTACCAAAAATTGCACACAACAATATAATCAGAGAAAAATGACAACAGCAGGCGACTGATGATAATAACAACAAGTAATTATCCAATATAACAATCATAATTTACAGAATACGACATTGAGTAAGCAATCCGTGTTGCAGAACGTAAGCGCTCACTAGGAATCGATGATCCCAAAAATATTACTAGTCGAAAGCCAATTAGGGAATTCAAACCACGTGACTTTTGCCAACCAGCCGGCATTTTGAAATTGTTATGAGGTTAGAATACGGGTTGTTACATGTCAACGATGTCAGAAAAGCGTCAGATTTGAGTACTCGCCCCGTGTAATGATCAAGCCTAATACTCATAACCGCGAAATTCGCTCTTTTTGACATTGCTTCGAAAATTTGACGTTTGATTCACGCATAAAACGTCAAATTGTCGAAGCAATGTCAAAAAGAGCGAATTTTGCTGTTATGTACTAGGCTTAATCCTGCCAAAAAAAAACATGTTTTTTATTTATTGTTTGCCAACCAGACGCCATTTGGACAGGTCGTTGGATTGCCTAATTGACAAAAATGAACGACACTTCACCAGTCAGCTGAGACACAAATCAAGAGTGACATGACTTAAGCGTCAAGTGTCATTATAACATAGAGAGCAAGGAGAGCAATCTGGGCTGGGACTCTATAACGAATATAGATATTTTCTCTATCTCTATTGACATCTCCTCTCTATTGATTTCGACAAGACAGAAGAAGACAGCGGGTGCCATAGCGATAGGGATAACGATCTCTCTCCGTTACAGAGTTCCAGCCCTGGTGGTTTATGGAACCAATGATGGGACCGGGAGCAGAACTAAAACTGGTACTGAGTTCAGCAAACGAACAGAGTACGAAAGTACGAACAGCATACGGTACATACTTTGAAAACGGATCACGATTTGGGAAAGAAAACCCTAAACTCTGTCCAACGAATCTACGGAGTATGACAGTGTCAAAATGGCGGCCAGGTTTACACTGAACACTGATTTATGCCATTTATTTATTTCAAAATCTTACAAAACATCACTCTACAGTGTAAAGCGGGCTGATCAATGACCAATAGTAACGAACCTTTTTGAAGGTTTTGTTGTTTGTCACTCCGTAGGTTGGTTGGTTGATTTGTTTACATGGGAAATAGATTTTGAAATGGAATTAAAATATTGATTAAAATCGATGGAAATCATTAGTCATCACAAGAACTAGTCACAAGTGAAAGTAGAATTTAAATATTGAAAATTAGAAAATTTTTAGGATCTGCAATTACTGCAATTATTGTTGAACTTCTATGGAGGAAAATGTTAACAAATTTAAAGGAATTTTGAATGAAAAACTGAAAATAAGTATGAAATAGTTAATGTTAATTTTGGCACGTCACAACCACTAGTTGTGTTATAAGTCACATGACTCAAATACTAGAGATATTCTGTGGAAATCTTGGGAATGAAGCTCCTTCATCAGTTAAAAATTAAAGAAGACACAAAAGTGATCTACATTGTTTTTGTAATAAAAAAGACAATAGATTTTTTTTTGGTTTTCCCTTGCAGTTTTCGGAAAACTCGGAAAAGAGCTCGCGAAAAACAAATAACAATTACATCGATCGTCAAGCAGAATTGGTCTGTCAAAAAAAAAAACAACAGACAAAAGCTAAAAGCGAGGTTGAAATGAAACTAACCGGAGAAAATCTGGGGCTTGACTTAACTAGACTTGAGGTGGACCTTTCTCAGTGGTGCAAAACACAAAAGGTAGATCTTCTGATATTGGCAGCAAAGAATATAAAATAGTTTGAGGTTTATCGAAAAATATTTATAATTAAAATTACGTCGCCATTATGAAACTCCTGTCATTTCAACAACATCGATTTCATAATCTTACCAATGGAAGACAAGTCTAAAATAATAATTTCTTTAGTGTGGAAATCTATGAATCAATTCTAATAAGTTTTTAATACTATCCAGTTCATCTGAAGAGGACACAGCATGTGTCGAAAGTTTTCGCTACTATATCAAATGTTGGCGTCTCCTTGGGGGTTGTAGCAAAGTTGTGGCCTTTGGGTTACTACCCAAAGTATACTGTGGTAAAAGTTCCTGTTTGGGATCGAGGGTTCTCGACGAATAGTTTTAAATTGTTATATGATTTATTTTCCTGTTCATGTTTTCTTAGTTATTGTGTCCCATTTTTTTTATGACGTTCGCGATGACGTCATCTCATGAAATTTGTCAAATTCAAGAAAAATTATGAGGTGAGTGGAATAATTCGAATTCATTAAAGTTTAGCAAAAAATTCGAACGGCCTAGTTCTTTGTGATAGCTTAGGTATAATATTATTTAATGATTTCATAACAGTGCATTCATGTGTATTCTTGCTTCTATGTGATTAAATTTTCAAAGATGTTTCAGCGCAACTTGTTGGCTTCACAAGCTAAAATGCCTTGATGAGAAACAAAAAACCTAAAGTGCTTCCCTTTAGAGCCCCATTATATTATGCTAGCCATGACGTTACTTTTAGAGTTTCTCTCACATAATCAGCTTTTACATTCAATGACACTACTGTGCTGGGTAACAAAAATTATTACAAAATGCGCCATTCATATAGCCTTAGAAAACCCTTAATTTCATTTTATTAAAGCTCCCTTTGATAGGGTTTTTAAGCCTTTTTTGCGAAGCGTATACCTATTTAAACCCTAAAAAAACATTTTTTTTTATTAAAAATTTTGCTCTAAAAGGAACATGTAGGTATAATGTTTAATCGGTTTGAACCGCGGGATGGAAATTTAATACAGGTTGCAATAAACTCACTCACCTAAAATGCCGAGCCGATAATTTACGGTGACCACGACGACTCCCCCGTAGCTGGCCAGCACGGTGCCATCGTACGGATTGCCCGAATTCCATTCGTAGCTTTCGCCGTGAATGAACACAATCACCGGATATTTGGCCTGATTGCTGCCCTCTCGTGTTCCTGCTGGAAAAATTAAATTGTGTTATAAACATCGGTATAGGAGCTTTGGTCGCATTCTTTCGATCCAATTGTGTCGGAGTCAAAGAAAATTATTTCAAGGTATTATAAATTGCAGGAAATGTAATAAGAACCCATTTTTTCAAGATTTTAATCGAGATTACGAATACCTGGAATAGGTTTGTGCTGATATTTCCGTCCCAACTATAATGTATCTAACTACATATTACTAAATGACAAAAAAATCATTCTTATTTATCTTGGCGTCGAAGATCACTAGCGTTTTAGGTACTACAAAAAATAGGTATAGCAGGTGACTGTGAAAGGTATTCCTCAGCAAAAAATACCGGCATTGCTAGCCGATCTTATGATTATTCTTCATAACGATAACGGTAACTTAGTAAATATGAGAATTATTTAAAAAAATCTGGTACTACTAATGAAACGAAAGTTAACACTTTTTAACTGATTATGATATGAGGCGGGTGTAGATTTAAGTGTTTTGTGGCCTCATGAAGACTGAAAGAAATAAGAGTGTGGCTTTCATCGCCTTTCAAGAATTTTGATTTCGGGAATACCGAAGCCCTTTTCATCGTCGACGATTACAAATAGTGATCGAGGCTACAAGTTTTTTAATAAAGGATATATTCAGGAAGTCTACACACATACAAATATGTCTCAAAATCAGTGCACCATTAAGGCAAAAAGTTATAAAAGACATAAAAAAATTAAATACTTTTTTCGAAACTATCATCATGCTCAAAGCTCACTGCAGGTAAATTTGAAGCAGAGTAAGAAAACTATGGTTGCATAAATCATAGTATGTGCTATTATTAGAATAAAGGGTTTTCTCATAAACTCCCAATAATCACCTGGTTGAACTCGCATACTACATTAAACATTTGATTTTGAATAGGCTTTAGTAATCCACCGTCAAACACAAATTAGCCAATGGAATGTGACTGACTAATGTGTATGACTTTATGATACCTACTACTTGTATTTTATTACAAAGCAGCATTGAAATATTTCCGATATCAGTTAATACGGGACATACAGTATGTCATCAATATCATCAAATAAAACTGTAACGGACTACAAAGCTAGGAAAAGGAAGGCACCTCTCTCTTTGAGGAGGAGGAGTTTTTCTTGGAAAAGATTTGGTATAACAGCGACTTTTTTGAAAATAAATTATATGTTATCATAAGGTTCTGTTTTATGATATTATATTATCAGTAAAGAGTAGAATACTGACTGGGAGCAGTAATTATGCAAAATAATCCAATAGCATATATACAGGGTGTTTCACGAACATCGAAACATTGGCGTTTAGGGGTATTTTAAGGTCGATTTAACCCTCCTTTAGGTGCGCGAGTTTTTATAACATCATTAATCGCGCTGTATCACAGAGATACATGTACTAAATCATTGATAAAAAAATTGAACCATCTGATGAATTTCTGTTTTACAATTTCTAAGTATTTATTCGTGTACTCAACAATCATTTTTTACTGAAAAAAAGATTCCAGAAGTTGGATTCTGTTTTCGCAGTCGTTGTAGTTTGGCCAACCACGCCCGGCAGCTTTACCATACTATTATGTGGTCTCTTCCGAGTCAGCTTGGGAGGAAATTTGTGTTATCGAGTTCCATCTTCACCTAAGATGAACAGCCTCTTGTACCATAATATGTATGTGAAAAAAAAAAAAACAAAAAAATAGTTACAATTCAAGAGCACCGATGGTAACAAGAAAACTCGCGTTGTATCAGTCAGGTATAAAGCCGAGCGCACTCCTAGTTTTTTGGAAATTCCAAATTTCCAAGTAGAGGTACGACCATGTAATTCTGGGAAAGTAATAAGTATAGGGTACCTAAGGACTACTACAAGCCATAATATTATAGGGTTTTTCCTTTTTGATTTATTTGCAAAAATAATAGGCATGTATCTCTCAGATACACGCGCGACTAATGGAAGGTTAAAAAAAACGCTCGGACAAGTCAGTTTTGTATTCAAGGGGAAAACTCTTTGACCCCTTCGGTATTTCGCTAGGGTGTAACCCCTTGGTGGGGTGACTTTCACCTCTACTTTTTAGATAGGGAAGATGGGAAGAGTGGTACCTTGTTTTAAAGGTATTTTGATTGTCGTCACAACTGTGCACTTTTTTCGAAAATCGAATGATAAGTTCTCAAGATATTTACTGCCAAATTTGCCATGGGCTAAATAGGAAACAATCTTCTGGCCCTGTTATTCTCAAACTAAAGTGTTAGATAATAATTGCCCGGTAGGTACCGATAATTGTCCGGCAGGTCTAATTTCCGGAAATATTCTGCTAAAAAGCATTCGTGCTTCAAAACGACAAGATAATTTCACGTTCGTGTTTTCTTGAAAAACTGCATTCGTTATTCATTTTCATATTTTTTGCAAAAGATCCTGACATCGAAGGTGGAGGGAAATCAACTCGTGCAGTTTTCAGAAAACACGCTTTCATCCAGAAATACCGGTAACCCCGAATTTTTTTTATGGTTGTCATGCTAAACAACTGGTTTGCGTTTGTCAAAAGTAATACTCTATTATACTCTTGCTACTACTCTACTCTTAGAATAGCCCTGTAATACCACTCGAGCCTTGAAATTAACCAAATAATTTTTCAAGCATGTGTAATGTTATGTCTCTACCAAATCAAAAAATGTAACATGGAATTGATCGGATTTACACATCATATTTAAGAAGTCATTTAATTCAGGTATCCTCTATGACTCTCTTATCCTTTTCCCAAATAATGGTTCGGCCTCATATTAATGTGATTTATTATATGGTCCGGATATTCTGCCTACACCCCAAAGATGTGAATTATATTCATTGTTGTGAAAAACCTATTTACTATCCAATTTGAGAACTGAAGATATTGCTTGTAAATAAAATAAACATTAAATTTGTTCACCATAAACCCTAAAATAACCAACTATATTTGATGGTTGCAATTTTTTGATTGTAAACCCCTTTTGTTAACGAATTAAATAGAGGCTTAGTTTGCTCAGCGAATAATTATTAGGGGTGGGTCAATAGTATGTACAGAATAGCAAGGGCGGCACTGAATTTGTAGAAATAAATAACTAAATACATTATGTGAAATATTGAAGAGTGAAAATTCAGAAACAGACCTAAAAAAAAATAATTAGTTAAAGGTAGGTAATTGATAATTCTGGGAAAGAAATAAATAAGGCATATAACTCAACCAAATCTTGACATGAAAACCAACACCCAAATAAGTTTTAAATTAAAATAGTGTTTATTTTCACGGTGATATCAGATTCACACGGAGGAGAATAATAAATTCAAAAAAAAACCATTGCTAGTTGTTGGTATAAGACTTTAAATGAAATCAACGGATGAAGGTTTAACCCTCATTTGGATTCACCAAACTCAAAAAAATAATATCACAATATACACTAGTATAGTTGCCACATAATATGGGTTTACCTACTTAACAGTTGCTGGCCATATCATGAACTTGAGCAATAAATAAAAACATGAAAGGTTTATGTTTCCAGAAAATTTTAATGTTCTATGGATACTTATGACCAGCCTCTGCCTATAAAATAAATTCAATAAAATCAAATTGAAACTGTATGAAATCAAAGGTTAGGTTAAATGGTGAAAGTAGGTATACAGGGAATATAACAGAAACCATCAAGTATACAAGTAGTAAAAAAACTCCGATGAAAAATTGGTTAATATTTGACGATGTACCATCGTCACCAAAAGTATCTGGGACACAAATAATGCATAATAATCTCCTGGACTAATTCTACTGTCATTAATTTCAATGCATTTGATTCATAGTTTGACAAATATTTGACAATAAAATTCATGTAATAGGACAAGAGCTAATGTGATGCTGTCCCAGTTACTTTTGGTGACGATGGTACCTGAGTGCATACTTAAGAGGGGCGTCAGATAAGAGCTAGCGCGCCATCTTTTGGGCTTTATGACATACATTAAATATTTTTTAATCACAGGTGTTCAAATTCTCTGTAAGTGATTGACTTATTTACAAGTAGATAACGACATCTTCAATATCAATTCGTTTACACAGTAATTTACAGTGGACTAAATAATTTTATTCAGATACAAATGAAATAATAGTATTTCGCATTTTTAGCTAGGTAAAACAGTTTTTACTGGCGTTTAAAAGAAGTGACCACCCTTCCCGAATTCAGCGACATCTTTTAGAGAAGCGCTGAACACACGTTTGGTTTGAGTCTCTGCTGCAAATGACATCAATAAGCTCCTTGTCAGTCCTTATTTGGCAGATTTTGATTAATTTTGTTATAAAAACATTATAATTTTCGTAAATTCTGTTCTATTCATTTATTCCAGCAATTGACGATCCGAAATTTTGGAAATTAATTATTGGTGTGCTACTCTATATCTTTATGCGTTTTTCATTTAAATCCGTGACCAAAATTTGCATACTGTTGTCAACAAAATTGGTAATAATTTTACTATTTAGCCTGCGTATTTTGCAACCAAAAATGCTTCGACTCATACTCCAATCCCTTCATTTCACTGGAAAGTGGTCTAAATTTTAAATTGAACAGTAATTTGTGAAGGTCTGTAAATGACATTTCATTTAAACGCCCCTCTTAAAAAACATGGCAGTACAAGTTTTAAAAGATATGAAATGATAAATTTAAATAATCGCAAATCAGAAATTATCTAACAGTTACTCTAGTGTCAGGATTCCGAAGATAGAATTTTAAATATTCAAATGTGATGTCAGTGAGAAAATAGGTTTAAGCTAATAATGAAACTCCATACAAGTTTCAATTCCAACGAAAACGTAGCAGGTCACTTTCTGTCATTCGGGGATAGAAGGTTCAGACTCCAGCCTTGAATCAAAGTAGATACGTAGAGGCTAGAAGTTCACAGTCTTCGTCAAATATACAGGTATCGACACGTAAGAAAATTGATTCCTCTAGGAAATCACTCCAAAATCTATATGCCC